GTGCAATGCTATGGTGAGAACCATTCTGATGGTAACAGGTTTGACCACAGGACTAAACACATCATGAAAATCTATACCTGCAACCTGTGTGTAGCCCTTTGCAACAAGCCGGGCTTTGTGTCTTGAAACTGAGCCATCAGCATTGTGTTTTGTTTTGAACACCCATTTACAACCAATGGGAATCTTTCCAGGTGGCAAAGGTGTTATCTCCCAGGTTCTGTTCTTAAGTAAGGCATTATATTCAGAGGTCATAGCATTTTTCCAACAAGGAATTGATAAAGCTTCTTGAGATGTTGTAGAAACAGAAACATCACTGTTGGCAATGTATGTTTTAGGCCTGAAAATGCCCTTTTTGGCCCTGGTTTGCATGGGGTGTTGATTTGTAAGAAGGGGTTGTTGTGTAGGGGAGGTGTGAGGTGAGGAGTTGGAGTTTTTGATCATCTTGAGCTGTATTATTAGAGGGTGGAGAGGGTTGGGGTGAAAGGTGATGTGAAGTGGAAGGTGAAGTATGAGGGGAATTACTTGAACTGGAAGATTGATATATAGAATGATGGCTGTGATTAGATGCATAAAAAAATTTATGAGATTTTTCTTGGGCACAATCTGAGCAAAGAGAAACTTTATTACTAGCATAAGGAAGATTACACAATTTGAGAGCTTTTTGAGTTACATCAAAAGAGGGATGACCCAATCTCCTATGCCAAACATCTAAATACTTAATAGAACTAGACAGATAAACTTCTCCACCTAAGAATTTCTTTTCACTACAAACTGAACTCTCTTTTTCTTCACTCTTGTTTGGTACCCTACTCAGCTTGAAAGGATCCCTTTGAGAAGAGGTGCTCCTGAAGCTTGATCCTTCACAACACAAAAAGTGGGAAAGAATTCAAAGAACACATCATTATCCTTAGCAAACTGAGCAACACTAATGAGATTTTTTGCTATATGTGGAACATATAGGTTTTTGAGTTTGAAGGTATGTTGTGGTGTATGGGAATTTTCAGAACTAGTAAACATTGTCTTACCAACATGAGAGATGTCTAGCCCAACCCCATTTCCAATTTGCAGCTTGTTTGGTCCACCATACTTAGCGGCCACACTTAGGTTTGCAAAGTCATTGGTGACATGGTGAGCAGCACCAGAGTCAGTGAACCAGTTTCCTTCATTGTTGTTATCCTTGGATGCAAACATCACTGAGGATTGGCTTAGGCCTTTACAATCATTGTACTGCCTCTGATGAGATGGTTGTGTCACAAAGTCAGGGTTAAAGCGGTTGTAACACTTGTCTGTGGTATGATTAGTGTACCCACATATTTGACATTGAACCTTGTTGAAGTTTCTGCCACCCCTACCTCTTCCTGACCTGCCTCTACCTCTGTATCCCTGTTGATTTCCTCTACCTCTTGAGGGATAAGAGTTGTGGGATGGCTTGTTGGTTTGAACTGAGAGGTTTGCTGAGGGCAGAGTGTTGTTTTCACCAACAAGACCAGCAGCTTGAAGTCTACTTTCATAGGTAAGAAGCAAAGACATGACATCCACCATTGTGAGTTCTTCAGGCCTTGCATTGATGCTCACAACCATAGCATCATACTCTGATCTTAGGCCACTAAGAATGTGCATTATCTGATCCTGCTCTGTCACAACATGTCCTCCAGCAGCCAAGGTATCACAACACACATTCACTTTGTTAACATATTCCCTGATGCTCATGTTCCCTTTCTTGAGGTTTGGAGTTGTATTCTGTAATGCATAGTCCTGGCCTTGACTGTGTGGAGAAACTTGATTCTAAGCATTTCCAGATCTGGGATGAGCTCTCCATACCTACCACTGAGATAAGAACAGGCTCTGAAAGTGATGAAAGGAGCTATGAAGCCAAAAATTGATCTTGTCTTCTCCAGCTTGTGTACTCTGGGTTTACTTGAAGAAGACCTTCTTCAGATCCAGGTATAAATCTGGTGGGTGGGTGGCTCGATCCATCTAAGAAACCTTCTAGCCCATGTCCTCTCACAGTGGTGAGGACCTGTTGTCTCCATATGAGGTGATTTTCATCAGAAAGTTTGGTGGATATCAATTGGTTGTGAAGTTGAATTGGGGCAGGTGCTGAGATCTGGGTTTGGCCAGGATTGGTTGGTGTGGCCATTGATTAAACAAGGTTCAAAGCAAGTTATCCCTGCTGTGATACCATGGTGGAATCAAACAAAATCATTTTGATAAAATCAAAGAAGATACTTAGCCAAAATTAGGGTTCTTGCTTGATGAGGCAAAATATGCAAGTTGTATTTCTCACACACCAACCAAGAGTTTTTACATCCTTATATACTAGCCCTCTGATAACCTAACAGACTTTCTGATGATAAGATCAAATCGTACAAATGCTGAATCAAAAGCATGAAACCATAAGGAATAAGAAGACAAAAAATAATAAATGCTAGGATGCTTTGAGGGGCACAATTGTCCATGCACGAGCCTGCATGGTGAACAAGTTGAGGGAATAATTTCCTTAGTCTTCATTCTGACGTGGAGGGTGGACCGAGTCTTTATGCTGATGTGGAGATAAAGTCATGCTAACAGCACTTCATTAATATATCCGTTTGGGCATTATAATTTCTGTTATTTTATTCAGTAATTCAGTAACTTTGTAGCCAAAAATCATCTTTAAAATGTTTCTCGGATTTTTTAACAAATAGTCGTAACATATTTAGCAAGAGAGGAGCTAGACATTACACAATCTCCCATTATGTCTGCATGCAGCCAATATATAAGCTCCTACAAAGTTATTTGCAAAGTGTATTTTCCTCCGTGTGCTTCAAATGGTTATAGTAAAGTCTTATATCTTTCTCAGTGTGCTTATAATGGTGGTAGTAGTCGTTGCTCCATTATTTCAGAAGCTTTTAGAATCAACATATCTTCATTTCCTCTATTATATGCGGAGAATTTACAAATATGGAAGGAATAAGAAGATATGTTCATCATAGATATGTATTTAATCACAATTAATCTTGTTCTTTTGGAAATTTAAAATGACTGTACATGCATGCAATCTCCATGTACTTCTTGCTTTTAGACATGGTGGGTTGCAAAATTTATTCTTGTTCTAATCTATATTGTTGGCAAGCTTCATTTAATTTTATTCAGCCTTCAATTAATAATAATATGAGTTCATTTAATAAAAATAGGTTGCATTTAATAAAAAAATTTATGACTTCCATTCAAAAACCGTTACAACATTTTTTTTCTTTTAATTTATTCTCTACAAACATCCACCTATTTTTGACTATATTTTGAATTTCTAACGGTTGCATGCTTTGTATGCTTACGAGATAATGTTTAAGCCCTTAAAATAGTTATAAATATATATATTTTTTTAATTTGTATGTTGACTATTCACATGCAAAAGAAGTATTAAGTATTGATATGCTATAGATACAACGCAAAATATATATAAGAAAAGTCATCTTTTGTAATAGAGATCTTTACACCAGCTCATTCAAATTCAAAATTTTCATGCAAGATTGTACATTATGTTAATTAGTTGAATTTAATGAAAAATAATAATACATTTTATTTTATATAATAAATACAGTGATGAATTTTGAATACTTTTATGATGTTTATTTTTACTAACGACAAAATTTTTAAAATGTTATACTATAATTTAACTTATAATTTTACAATTATACACATACACGTAACGTATAAGTTATAATAATTTAAATTTCTGTGCATGTGCACAAGATCAAATACTAGTTTAACTGATGACAGAATAAATGAGGAGAATAAAATGTTTTGGGCCAAACAAATAAATCCAAGCCCATTGCGAATTTCAAACAAATCGAGCACATTAGCTGACCTATTAGGTTCACCTTTCGCCAACATGCAACGGTGAACGGCCTGCTATTGTCTAGGGCCAAGGCTGCAAATAAATCGAGCCCAATGTTGACTTTATAGAAGGCTTGAAGTTTGTTGATGTCGAAAATCGGACGATCAACTATTAAATAAGAGTCGAATTTCTTGTAGGAAAATGAAGAACAAGATCATTTAAAATGTGTGTTTCCCTTTTTATTTCATGAGAAGATTTCTTCCTCTTTTTTGTTGTTTGGAGGAGAAAGTCAAGAGAAGCCCCCCCTCTCTCTCTTCATTCTCACATATTTATACATGCCTTTTTCCTTTTACAAGTGGGTAATAGAAAAATAAAGGTTGTACATTATTATTTAATGGGAAATAATCATCGTGGGACCCACTTATGACTTTTGACGGTTTCAATTGACGTCAGTCTTCCCAGAAATTGTCGTGTCGAGCGGTGCGGTTTATTGATGATATGCAGGCCATCCATTTGCTTTGAACTCTGTCCGGTTCGGCAGCGAGCGGACTCGACATCGAGGGATCCGATCGGCTTTCGGGCGATTAGTCTTGAGAACCTGTCTGTATATTCATTTAACATATATTTTCGGCTCTTTGGTTGTCGGGCCGTATTTTATTATTTAATTAATCGGAGCCAAATTGAGTATCAACAGTTTTCTCTCGATATTTTAAGGTCGGCTTGACTCGATAAAAATATAGAATTATTTGAGATCGTCTCAAGTTCGGCTCAAATTTCAAATAAAACAAAGTTCTATTTGAACAAGAATCATTCTTGAGTTTGAGTCGACTTGAACTTTAATTTAACTCGTATTTAGCTCGGAGCATTCACGTAAATTATACTTGTACTCGAGCAGGTCCCATTTTATAAAATATAAGTTCAAGTTCGACTTGAATTTAAGTTCGAAATGCTCAACTGACTTGTGTTCTGGTCAAGATCGAACTCGAACCAAACTTTAACTCGAATCTATTGTCTATCTAAATTTGAGCAACATGCATTTTCATCCAATTTTTAAAACATTAATTAAAAATGCTCGTGCTCGACTTCAGCTCGATCAAACTTTGTCTCAAACCAAACTTTGACTAGAGCTCTAACGAGCGGCTCACAAGCTACTTGATTCGTTTCCCAATCGAAGCTTCAACAACAAACGTTTTATTATAATTTTCAAAACGCTGAGTAGAATCAACCGTCGTAAAAAGTAAAACCTTTAACCCAAACCGAGCTATCAAAACTCAAAAGTTTGTTCCTGCCTTAAACCCTATCAGTGCCCTCTCAAACCACCAAGCAATTCCTGCATCAGTTGAAGTAGAAATTGATGCACGTTTTGATTTTTCATTCGATTGTGTGAACTCCTCTTTGCGCAATATCGGAAAATGGTTGGTCCGTGGTCCGCCGACCCAACTGCCTCCAGGAGCAAGGTACATTCTCCAATTCACGTCATTCGCAATTCGGCTTTTCCCCATATTTGTTGCCCCCTTTTGTTTCCGGTTTCTTGTTTGAAGCCCTGGATTATGTTCGATTTTTCTGCTTTGGGTAGTATCAGACTATCAGTTGTTTGACATTAGAGCCATTTGCGATGATTTTCAGAAGGCACTGCTCCGCCTGGCGTCTATTGAGCCAATCGATCTTTGTCGTGAGGCGAAAGTCGAGAGGTGTCGAGCGACTAGGGATTTGAGGAGCTGCGGGAGGTGTGTTCAGAGGGTTTTGGCATTCTGTGGACATGCTGCCTTGTGCGATGAGTGTAGTCAGAGGTGTGATGTTTGCCCCATATGTCGAATTTGCTTGTCCGAGGGCGTTGATAATCTCCCGTTTCGTCTTTACTACGAGTGTGTTGAGGCCGGCCTTATTTCCTGGAATCGTGATGACCGATTGAGGGATGGAGAAGAAGGAGATGGAGAGAATGTTGAACGGCTTCACTCTCTGTTTGATGTTGCTTTGGAGAACAACCTGGTGTCCCTAATCTGCCAGTGTATCCGCTGCACTATCTAATGTTTCTTTACGAATGCGCTTTGTGATTTTCTATGGACCGAGTTTTTTTTTTTTNGCTTGATTGTGCTTTATTTGGACCTAAATGTCGTTAGCATATTTTTTTTACAATTGAAAAATCATTATACCTATTTCATTTTATATTTTATGCATTGTTGGACCTTTGTACCCTTAACAAAAATATACAGATTGTGCGCATGTGTGTATGGATGAAACTTTTGTATCAAGTGATCCAGTTACTGCTTTTTTGCTGGATGAGAAGGTTGTCGAGGATTGGTGCAGGCGGACGTTCGGAAATATTTTGACAGAAATCGGGAAGACATGTATCCTTAAGTCTCTCAACCTCTGACAAATTTCTATAGATTGTCTGACTAGAAAATCACCGTGAATATCTTGCCCTCCTTGACATTCTTTATAGATAATCTTAGTGTAGCTGAGATGAAATCAAGATTAACATTGCTTCAGAAAATGTCTTCGAATTTGTCAGCCATGGGCAATGTTATTGAAGTGTTGGAATCTTCAGTCGGAGCCTCTGCTTCAACTGTGCTGCAGGGCCTGAATCATCTTCAGGAGAGCATATCAAGGACAAAACAAGTAATATCTTTATTGTTTCCTTTTCTTTTAAAGACTCCTTTATTGCCTCTATTGTACTACTACTTTATATCAAGATCAGAAACATTTGGACTATATGTCTGCATAGTTATAAATCAGTGTTGAATTTATTCTATAATGCTTCATAGCATCTTTTTTATTATATACCTAAGTGATGTAGGGAAGCGTACGAATGGGAAGGATAAACGAGATACTCTCTCGATAAAACCAATCAAATCATATTCTTATTCATAATTAACTCAACTGAATAAAACAATAGATGAGGAGCCCTTTAAATAAGACTCCTAAACCTTATTCTTAACTTGTCCAACAAGACAAGATCTCTTATAATAATATTTAATTACTAACTTATTCTCCAAGATACTTATGCTAATAATAATAATAATAATAATAATAATAATAATAGTAATAATACTCTACACCATTCTCTCCCGGTTCGGAATGCTTCGCCCTCGAATCCGACACGCTCACGTGGCTGGTGTGGAGGCAAACCCATGATATTAATCCCCGTCGTTTTCCCCTGTCGAACACGAAGGTTGAATGTCGCACCTCCATGATATCACCCCCTTGAAATTCATGGAAAGACATATATGCAGCAGCCACACACAGAATTTTGAAGTCACTGTGGGGACCAAAAAACAACATATGTTCGCAATGCCGTAACAAATTCCCGTGAGAGAAAAGCTCGGGCCTGCGCAACAGAAGAACTACCAATTCTTTCAACAACTGAATTTCGATACCCGGAACATGGAATTCCTCCAGCCCCGGAGGCTCCTCATCGAAAATCGGCGGACCGTCATAGAGACCGTCCACTTCGCCGGTAAAACGCTTCTCCACCTTCTCGGGTCCTTCATCAAACACCGGCGGACCATCGTACAATGGTCCGTCAACTTGCTCTTCGTCGAATTCAGGAATGTCAACGCGAAACGGGCCCTCCCATCGACCATATTCTCTATCACATTCCCAATCGCGTCGGGCACGACATCCGCCGGCGATGGCAGACTCTTCGGGCTTGCCTCTGTCGTCGCGTTGATCGTCGCCGTCCACGAAGACCGGGCCCCGTCGCCGCATGTCACGGCCGCCGTATGCAACAAAGGGGTCAGCCTCAACGTGCGGGGTTGGAAAATCGTCGAAGGGATTCACCTCCGAAACTGTCTCCTCGCCGTCTTCGTCGCCGGACGGTGGTTGTGGAGATCTTCGGCGGGGCGCCCCGCTTGGACCACGACCTCCACTTCCTCCGCGAAATCCCCACGCACGCCCCGGTTGTCGGCGTCACGGTACGTTTGCTTGTCCTGAATCATGGTACGGATAGTTAGACGTATGTTCCCGATCTCCGCGGACAGATCTGCAATCTCACGACCCATCGTCTCGAGCTAGCAGACACACCACTCGGTCCGGCAGCTCAGGTTGTAGATGGCGGCGACACGCCTGTCGTTTGCAGCATCTTGTCGTCGCGACAACATCGTGAATTGTGCTGACTTCTTATACCAACTGATGTAGGAAAGCGTACGGATAGGAAGGATAAACAAGATAGTCTCTCGATAAAACCAATCAAATCATATTCTTATTCATAATCAACTCAACTTAATAAAACAATAGATGAGGAACCCTTTAAATAAGACTCCTAAACCTTATTCTTAACTTGTCCAACAAGACAAGATCTCTTATAATAATATTTATTACTAACTTATTCTCCAAGATACCTATACTAATAATAATAATAATAATAGTATTAGTAGTAATAATACTCTACACCACTAAGCTTACCCATTTATTTAAACTGTATCTGATATTGCATTTAATTATCCTGTTAAAATGCCAGTTTCAACGCCATTGTCATTTTCTTTCAACTTATAAGAATATAATATCTGAATGAACCTATCTGGATGCTTAATCTTGTTTGTTTTATTTGCTGGTTTTGAGAGGGGCCTTCGCTAACCAGTTATCTGCATTTGCCTATCTAATCCCTTGATTCATTTTCCAAAATATAAACAGCACTTGCAGATCATGATGTGGTGCATCAAACATCAATTTCTGGATAGTGTGAGGTCTAGGCATTCTGATTTTGAGTCATGGCGTTCATCTGTCCGTGAGAGGAAATCTGAAGCAATTAAGAGAGCATGGCCTGATACAGAGAATCCTATTCTGGAGTCAAGTGAGCAGAGTACATCTAGTCTCTTCATTGAAGATGCACTATCAAATCTTGATACAGACCAAGAATATGCTGATAATGATAAAGGGGAACTATCGATTGAATCACTGGTGAAATCTGGGGTCAACTCTTTTTCTCTTTCAAAGTTACATGGAATGGCAGCTTGCTATCCTTTCGAAAATTTGCGAGCTGCTGTTGACTTGCTTTTCTTACGAGGGAACTCTGATTTGGTGGTTTCCAAGCAAGCTATTGTATCCATTTCCTACCTATATTACAGTATGTTTGGTTATAGATAGTTTTTAGGTTTGAATAATTGGTGTTAAGTATGTTATTTTACATGTTAATATTCCTTAACCTTTGAAAACAGTTTCTGTATTATCTTTTTGATCGGCACTGGACAATACCGATTGATGAGTGGAGACCTATTGTTGATGACTTTGCTGTCACATTTAATATAACAAGGCACTCTTTGCTGGAATCTTTTGTCTTCTATCTTTTGGATGACCACACTGATGAAGCTCTGAAGGTATTCTACTATGATTACAATCGTCTTTCTTAAGCAGTTGTGGGAGCTACTTTAATGACATACATTTTACAATATAAAATAATGAAAATATGGACACCATAGCATGGCAAAATGAGGTGTTTAGTGATCTTGTGTTATGTGACTTTCCAACAATTTTCTGTGCGAATTTTTTTTTTCTTTTTTATTGTTCAGTGTCTGTCGCTATATTTATACGCATGACATATTAGTGATTGTTTCAATACTTTACATGTTTATAGTGACCTGTGCTATGGTGGATCTGTAGGTTTTTAATCCCTCTCCGTGACAGAGTTTAAGCTTTTATTGGATTTAAAGTATGGCATTCTTTTAAGAAAATCATGAACAATGAGAAAATAGAAGAAACAAGGTCAAAACATAGATGGCAACAGGCAAAATGATATTTACAAATGAAGTCTCAGTGGATGAGTATGTTGACTCTTGTTAGTGTGGAGCTTTACAGGTTTTATGTAATGAGATGAAGTTCATGGACTCATGGATTAAGAGCAATGAGAAAAATTAAATATATACTTTTTTTTTTACTTTGTTAGAGAACTTATGTCCACGGCTTTCGCCAATGCACTCATTTAAATTTGTGGATTGCTTTGCCTCAGTACATTTTCTTTCCATGCAACTTAACCTTTTAGCTTTGAAAATAATTATGAGATTAGAATCTCTCTGTGTCTTTTTAGCTGTTGATATATTATCGCCATATTGATTTTTATTCCTGAATTGTATTATTGTTAGGAAGCTTCGCACCTTCTTCCTGAAATTGCTTCCCCAAATACCCATCCTAAGGTCGCACAAGCACTCTTAGAGAGGCAGAATCCCGATGCAGCTCTTATGGTTTTGAGGTGTTCAGGAAAAGATGGGGGAGCAACATTAGTTTCACCTAGGGAAGCTGTTACAGCTGTCCGGGTTAGAGTGGAGTGCGGACTTCTGACTGAAGCATTTATGTACCAGAGAATGATATGCACAAAGATCAAGGATAAGAAACTTCTGGGTACTTATGACGATTTGACCTGCAATTGGCTGCTCTGGGTTGAGGTCTTGGTTACTGATTTTGTTTGCCTTTGTATCCGGAGGAACTTAGTTGATCGGATGATAGAGCTGCCTTGGAATTCTGATGAGGAAAAACATCTTCATAAGTGTTTGTTTGAATTCGGGATGGATGATCCTTCGTCAGCTGTTGGAAGTCTTCTTGTGGTTTACTATCTACAGGTACTTCTGCCACTTGGCATGTTGCCAATGCCATTAACAATCTTCACAATTGGATAGTTATTTTGCTCAATATTTTGAAATTCTGTATAAGTTACATTTAGCAGAATTGTCTCGTCTGTGGCCTTTAGCTTCTGTGGTGCTTTGTTTTCTGTTTCTAGTTAACATGTCTTCTTCATTACTTTGTTTTTTGGGGAACTACTTAATACGTCTTCTTTATTGCTTAGCTTTCTTTGTGCAATTTCTTTGTTCATAATAAACTCAAGTTATACCATCTATAACTTATTAGATATAAATTTGGTATCCATTGTATGGCTAATACATGTCCTAAAGTAGTTTAATAGTAATTTGTATTGAACGATCCTGGTTCCTGGATATAAAGAGTACTTATTATTTGAAAACACTGTAATAAGCTAAGTCTGTAAGACTTTCTTACTGCATACATGTGTATGAATGCGATACATATATTTTCAGCTACAGAGTTATCTTAACGTTAATATATGCAAGTTATGTTTAGCTATCGAGTGACCCAATTTAGCCAGCTAAGTCGTGTGTTGGTTTGTATCTACATTTTTATTCATTGTAGCCCGATATATTTCAAGTAATTCAATGACTATATAAAATGTCATTCTTTCACTCTTTCAGCGCTATCGCTACAATGAAGCTTACCAAGTGGATTGTAAGCTTCAGGCAGTGGAGGAAGATTTCATGTTAAAGAATAGGAATGATGAAATATCTATTAAAGTGAGATCGATGAGTCAATGGAGGAAGGGATTAGTTGTAAGTTGACTAAGTACCGTTTCAAGTTATTATTAGTTACTTATATTCTGCTCAATTGTCTGTTTTCTTTTACTTATCATTCTTACATCTTGGTGTTGGATGATCGAGAAAGACTATCTTGATTGTTTTCTGTTTGCAGAGCCAAAGTGTGGATTTATTGCCTGAAATCCTCCAACAAAAACTGAAGGCTGGAAACTTGCCAGAAATCGGCATTCTTCGTGATTCTGAGATTTCTGAAGTGCAATCTAATCTTCCGAAAGTACAAGAACCCGTCTTTGGAAGTTTGCTGTTTAATGCTCCAAACCTGCAATTGCAAAGTAATGGCTTCTTACATCCCCCTTCTTAATCAGAAGTGTTTAACTCTCTCTTTGTTTATCAGGAACTAAGTTAACGAAAAATCTCTGTTTTGTATTTTGCTTCGTGCACATTCCTTGTCGATGGACTCAACCTATAACTGAATCCATTTTTCTTGGGTTGTACTTTCTGTACTTAGTTTAAAGGAAATGAAGTCTTCATTCAATACTTAAGCTCTGTGGTTTTGCTGTTTGTAGTTACATCCGAAGAGAAATTTGGACGCTTTCTAACTAGGTTATTATGGACAGCTAATTTAGAGTGCTATTAGAAATTGATTTCAAGGATTTCTAAGATATATTGGTTGAGAATAACACTAACTTGAAATAATATATTAAAAGATGTTCTTGAAATTGAGTTGTATTCTTCCATTATTATCTATTTAAGTTGAGGTCAACTTTGCCAAACACAAAGCTCCTTATTCCATGATGTATGTGTATTCTTAAAGATGTGTATATAAAAGATTTGTGTTTCTCACTATATATGAATAAAGAGATTCTGGAACTGGTTTTTTTGGACTTCTATGTGTCATCTTCTTTAGCCTAACAAGTGTTTGTTTGTTTCGGGATTGCACGAGTCACAGTATATAATTGTGTCCAAGTTCAAGGTATGAGCAAAAAAGTAATTTTTTTACAATTGTTGACTTCTATCCTGTTGTCTTTGGATTAAGGGTGCAACAAATTTGGTCAAAGATGGATAACACGGTTTGTTAATACATTGGCAGGATTTTAATTGGGGAATGATAACAAGAGATTTTATTATGAGTTCTTATCAAAATTAATGTAATCAAGAATAATACCAAGCGATATGAAATTATACTATATGTACCACCTCAAAATTGAAATACAATTTTTCCAGTTGTAATAATGGTGAAATACCTATAGAAACTTACTGAAATGTGAAAATTATACAAGACGTTCAAATAGTAGTCAAATACCATCAATAGTTAAAAAAAGAATAAAAAAAAATCGGCCTGCTTATTTTAACCGTTGATCTCACAAACACATCCGTGCATTTGTGTGTTGATCAGACGGTTAAAACCCTGAATGGAAAATCACCAAGAAGAAGTGATCAAACAAAACAGGGAAAAGATTTTGAACAATACCACACATCTCAAACAGTTCCACTTGTCTGATCAATTACTTAAAAAAAATAGTACTACCTCATATTCTTTTTAAATGTCATTTTGGCTTTATCAACTATTAACCAAAATAAATATCGTTTTGAATCTTTTGTACATATTTTTCCATTATTACCCTTATTTAGTTAATAAATACACTACGTCTTTTCATATTCTCTTCATTTTTTTTTAAAACATCCATCTCTATCTTCATTAATGAGTTACTATTAACAAAAAAATTATTCTTAATCAGTGTCATATTCTCTTCATTTTTTTTTTTAAAACATTCATCTCTTATCTTCATTAATGAGAGTTATTATTAACAAAAAAATTATTCTTACTCAGTGTACAACTTTCCAAAACCACAATTATTATGAATAGGAGGAAATATTAATTACGATAAAGGGTCTCAGCTACTTCCATAATAGGCGAAAGATCAAAACAAATTAATTTGGCAGAACAGCCTTAACTTCCTACACGGCAGAGAACGAACATTGTTTTCTTCCAGTTAACCATCCTTAAATTACAAACCTTATTAGCAAACCCTAATCAACAAATATATTACTTACCAAGCCACTCTAAACGCTACACCCATCATCATCTTATATTACAATAGACTAATCTCCAGAAAGCCTAAAAAGGAACCACATCAGTTAAAAACCCATTTTTTTTTTCTTTCTTTTTTTTTTCGTTCAAATTTTCCCCCTCACTAAACGGCATGAATTGGACTGTGACTAGATTTCATGCCCGAACTATCGGAAGGCGGATTATTACTAGCATGAAAAGCAGATGGCCTCGTTGACGAGCCCTCAACCAGCTTAAGAGAAAGAGTATTGGGCCCACCATCACCCAGAGATTCCCCTAAGCTCAGTTTAGACATACCAACCAACTCATCCACATTGATTGGGCTTTTTGTGTGCACGGCTGTGGGCTTCACTACCTGGTGGGCTTCTTCTTCCTTAACGGGCTCGGGATTGAAACCAGTGGGCCAGAACTGGACTGGCATTGGGAAGACTGGGCCCACATAAGCAGGGTAGACAAGAGGGTAAGGGTACGTGGGGCCCTCTGGTGGGGGAATCACGATTTCCCCATCATTTGAGTTTGCAGATTCCATGGACTCGCATTCTTCTTCCATGGGAGGTGCGAGTGGTGGTGGGGGCACGGGAGGTGTGCTGCTTTGGGCATCAGCTTGCTGAGAGTTAATGGGGAAAAAGTCTCGGGACATTGCTGCAGAAGAAGCATCAAGTGGCTACAAAAAATCGAGACGGACAAAAAAGAGATTAGTGGTACGATTAGTTTTTACCATTCCACATAGGAACATGCGTTGCAAAAAACTTTAAAGCTCTTGGATATAAGATTTTTTGATTTTGTTTGGATTTTCTTGGTTGGTATGGTTAATTTGGAAAAATCTGACATGGTTAATTGTTTGTGGGATTCTGAGTTTATATTAAAATAATATTCAAAATAAAATACGTAAAGTTGATTTGATGTAAAAGTAAGAAAAAAATGATATAATGTGATGGTTAATTAAAATTATGTGAGTGGATGAATAGTAAATTAAATTGATTGATATTATTTAATTACATTGATAATATTGAGGATAGTGGCGTTGAGTTAGATTTCAGTTAAACAAAGTGATTGGTTAAAAATGATTGAATTTTTTTGAGATAACTTGTATCCAAGTATCCTCTTACGGTTCTATTTCAAGGTTTTCAGTTATTCAAATTTTTTTTAAGGACTTCCATTTTTTGGTATTTTTTTGATTTTTTCTTTTTAATTTGGGGTTTTCTTTTAGGAAACAAGCTGCCTATATTATATTACACATTACGTATAAAGCTAACAGAGGAAAAAAATAATGGTAAACCTCATCGGCCACAATATCGAACAGGCTCGAACGTCTTTTCCTCCTCGACACATTGCTTTGCCGAATGAAGTACTTCTGAGCATGGCTGGCAACTTGAGTAGGTGTTCTCGTGATGACATAGTTCCTTGCAATGCCACGCCAGTCACCTTTGCCGAGCTTTTGCAGCCCAACCAGAAACAACCTGTGTTCTTCTTCTGTCCATGGGACACCTGTAATATTAAAAATTTAGTTTAGATAATTTGAAAATGCAAATATGAGCAATAAAGTAAAACCAAAAAGTTCATCTATTTAGTAACAGCAAGTGAAACACAGTATAATGAACGATAAAACCGTAGGTAAATTTGTCGGGCCATGCCACACTCATATACCACTCAATTTAACATTAAAGTAACCAAAATATTCTTTATTT